TCAGCCAGTTTTTGATTTTGTAGAGACGAGGTCTCGCCAAGTTGCCCGGGCGGGTCTCGAACTCGCGGGCTCAGGCAGTCCACTCACCTCGGCCTCCCAAAATGCTGGGATGACAGGCTGAGCCATCGAGCCCGGCCTGAAAAATTTTTTTAGAGATGGGGTCTTGCTATGTTACCCAGGCTGGTCTCAAACTCCTAGGGGCAAGCAGTCCTCCGGCCTCAGCTTCCCAAAGTGCTGGGATTACAGACGTGAGCCACTGCACCTAGCCAGAGCTCTCTTTTGGATCAGGAAGCAAACCTCTTTCCAGAAACTTCCATATTGGGATTCCTCTAGCATTTCATTGGCCAGGATTGTCACATGGACTCTCCTCATTGCAAGGGAGTCTGGAGACCCAGATAACTGTCATGGGCCCAAGCCTCAGGGTGGGCATGGCCGACGGCGAACTTGAGGGGAAGGAGCTGTCGGGCCGGGCCGGCTGCCTCGTCTCCATTTGTGCCACGGGAGGAGTAAGGGCTGTTGGGGAAACTCAAGGAGCAAGGATGCTTCAGAGTGCAGGGTGCAGTGGCAGCTAGCAGGTACCCCACCCCAGCCCTTTCAGCATTGCTGTCTTGTGCTGTGGGTGTCAGCTGGGTCACGTGTCTCCCACCCTGGGCTGTGGACTCCTAGGTAATGCCCTAACTGTGTGTCTCTCTCCAGGCCCCAGTACAGGGCCGAGCACACAGCCAGTGCCTGGGAAGGTTTTGTCAGGTTGATCAGATTCTGTCATTGGCCTGGGGAAGGGAAGGGAAGGGAAATAGCTTGGTGGAGCAGATATGACGTGCTGGGCCCTCATGAATTATGTCAACACATAGTTCTGGGGCTTCTCCTGCATGGTCAGCCCCGTGCTGGACACCGGGGAGTCCACAGTGAGCAAAGCAGACAGGAATCTGCTTTTGTGGTGCTGCCATTGGCGAGGGGAACAAAAAACAAGTAAACAAAGGAATAAGTCAGACGGGTCCAGGTGACAGTAGGTGCTGGGATGAAAACAAAGGGGGCAGACCCCGGTTGATAGTAGGTGCTGGGACGAAAGCAGAGAGGGCATATGGTCACAGTGCCTCATGTCTATAATCCCAGTACTTTGGAGGCCGGGGTGAGAGGATGACTTGAGCCCAGGAGTTTGAGGTCAGCCTGGGCAACTTGGTGAGACTTCATCTCCATAAAAATAAAAAAAAATTAGCTGGACATGGTGGCACGCACCTATAGTCCCAGCTACTCGGGAGGCTGAAGAGGGAGGATTGCCTGAGGCCAGGAGGTCGACGCTGTGGTGAGCTGTGATCATGCCACCGCACTGCGGGGACAAAGTGAGACCTCAACTCAAAACAGAACAAAGCAACAACAAAAGAAGAAAGCAAATAGGGCAAGGGGCTGGAGTGGCAGCAGGGACCGGGGCAGGGAGCTTGTTGGGGCGCGCTTTGTGGAGGAGGTGACACGCGGCCGAGGAGAAGGCGCGTGTGCCCGATGGTCGCAGCCGATGCTGTGGGTGCACTGTGCTGTCCGATGTGTTAAAGCGTGCCATCCTCTCAACGACCCATGAGATCGTTGTGTTATTGGCCCCATTCCACAGATGAGGACGCTGAGGCACAGAGAATGTAAGGGACTTGCCCCGGGTCGTGCAGCAAGGATAGCATCGGGCTTCGAGCTCAGGTTTCCTGGCTCTTGAGTCACGCACTTGACCTCAGTGCTTGTGGGGAGTGAGAGCAGCAAGTTCAAGATCCCGAGATGGCCTGGAGCTTCAGGGGAGGGGGAGCCGGAGAGGGGGCTGGGCTGGCGAGAGGGGAGAGGGTGCTGGGGATGAGACAGGAGGGGCAGGTGGCTGCCAGTTGGTGGAGGGTCTTGGAGGAGGGTCCCGACCCTGGTGTCCCGCTCTGGATGTCCCGGGGCGATGCCAGCCGTGGCTTCTCCTCCCACTTCCAGCCTACAGGGACCCCTTGGAACAGCGCCTCCCGCTGGGCGTCAGCATCTCCTGCATTGTCATCCTGGCCATCTGCCTGTCCTGCTATTTTGGCATCATCAAGTGAGTCCTGGGCTTCCATGCTGTGAGCCAGCCCCCCTGGGGTCCAGCTGGGAGGGAATCGCCCCTCTGATCTGTCTGCTTGCAGTCCTTTCATTCAGCAATATGGCCAGGGATGATGGCTCACGGCCATATTTCCAGCACTTTGGGAGGCCGAAGAAGGAGGAATGCTTGAGCCCAGGAGTTCGAGACCAACCTGGGCAACATAGTAAGACCTCATTTTGCCAAGAAAATTTTTAAAAAATCAGCTGTGCGTGGTGGCGCTCACTTGTAGTCCCAGCTACTCTGGTGGTTGATATGGAAGAATCGCCTCAGCCCAGGAGGCAGAGGCTGTGGTGAGCTGTGATCGTGCCGCTGCCCTCCAGCCTGGGTGACACAGTGAGACCCTAGCTAAAACAAAAGAAACAAAACCCAGCAATACGCATTTATTGAGCAGCTACTCTGTGCCGCGCCTTGAGAGTAGAGAACTGCAGAGCAGAGCTGGGAGTAAGACGGACGAGGACACTGTGTTCCTAAACCTGCATCCTGGCAGGAGCCAGGAAGTGCCACACCCACCGCTGACAGATGGCCTTCCACAGTGACCCACAGACACCCAGGGCAGAGGGGAGAGGTGTTCCAGGGTGCCCTCTGCGTGGGAGGGCCGGGGGGTCGCCCTGAGGAGGGAGAGTCTCAGCTAGGCCCTGACCGGGGAGAACGAGCTGGCTGGGGGAAAAGCGGGGGAGACAAGGAAGATGGTGTCGTCCATGTCCCCTTTCTACCCTGGCTGCCTGGGGTGTGTTCCAGGCTCTCGGGAACATGTGGCAGGAGCCAAAGGAGCTTGAGACGATTGCCCTGCTGGAGGCAGGAGACCTGGGCTTGAACCCTGGCCTTGCTGCCTGGTCGCTGGCGACAGCTGAGTGGCTGACACCCCCAAGCCCCGGGGTGTCGGCGAGAACATATTCCTTCAGCCCTGAGAGGCCCACTCGCAGTGAGGGACTGGAGGGAGGTTCCTGGGCGGTGGTTGAAGGAGCCTTGTTTCCTGTGGGTGCCGGCCCTTGGAATTGCCAGCGTATCAGAGTCTCAGCCCTCCCATCTCTGAAATGGGTCCAGCAGGCCCTAGCTCTTGGCCGGGCATGTGCTGAGCAGGCGGGGGATGCACGTGCCCTTCATGTCTCGTCACCGAAGCCTGTGGGCCACCGTGGGCTGCTCTCGCCGCCTCTAAGCCTCAGTTTCCCCACCACCTGTCCCTGTTCCAGTCCCCCATCACTCCAGCCTCCTTGCTGCTCTGGTGCCAGGCATGCTCTTCCTGTGGGGCCTTTGCCCTTGTTGTGCCTTCTGCCTGGAGAGCCCTTGCCCGGACACCGCCAGGGCTCCTCCCCAACTGCTCGCAGACCCGGCTTGGGGGTCCCCAGAGACCTTCCTTGGTCACACCCCCATTCCTCTCTACCCTTTTATCTTTTTTTTTTGAGTTGGAGTTTCACTCCATCGCCCAGACTGGAATGCAGTGGACGCTCCCAGCCACCGCAGCCTCGACCCGCTGGGCTCTGGCGATCCTTCCGCCTCAGCCTTCCAAATAGCCGGAATTACAGGCGCGCGCTACCACGCCCGGCTCATTTTTGATTTATTGTAGAGATGAGGTCTCGCCAAGTTGCCCGGGTGGGTCTCGAACCCGCGGGCTCAGGCAATCCACTCACCTCAGCCTCCCAAAGGCGCAGGATTACAGGCTGAGCCTCCGAGCCCAGCTATCTTTTTTTCTTTTCTTTTCTTTTTTCTTTTCTTTTCTTTTCTTCTATTCTTTTCTTTTCTCTTTTCTTTTCTTTTCGTCAGGATCTCACTCTGTTACCCAAGCTGGAGTACAGTGGCACGATCACTGCTCTCCACAGCCTCGACCTCCTGGGCTCAGACGACCCTCCCACCGCAGCCTCCCAAGTAGCTCAGACTACAGGCACATGCCACCACACCTGGCTAGTGTTTTGCTTCTTGTAGGGATGGTCTCACTATGTTACCCAGGCTGGTCTCGAACTCCTACCTTTTTTTTTTAAGATGTGGGGTACAATTCAGAATTAGATATACAAGTGGTTATCGTACAGATAAAGTTTGGGCCTCCCTTTGGGCCCCATTTTTCCTGGTTTGAGATCAGGTACCCTTGTTGGCATTGTGTCCCCCACCCCCACCCCAGCAGTATCCCGCTACTGCCAATCCCTTTCTCATAGTATTATGGTAAATGTTCGTGTTCGCTTATGAGTGAGAACATGTGGTACTCACACTCCTACCTTTTTATCTTTATTCATGGCATTTATTGCCAGGAATGAATGGTGTCGTATCATCATTCTGTCTCTGTTTATCATCTGTCTACCTCTCTCAAAGATCAGCTCCACAAAGACAAAGATACTTGTCTGGTTCACTGCTGCGGCCCCTGGGTCTGGCACAATCAGTGGAACATAGGTGCTCCATAAATGCACGTGGCCAGAAAAAGTGGGCAGAGATGAGTCCATCGCAGGCCGCCCCCTGATCGTTTGCCCTCAACTACTCCAGGGAGGGGATTGTGGGGTGAACGAGGTGGAAGCCTTGCCAGGAACTCCGTTCTGGGCAGCCGAAGGCTGGACCGTGAACCTGGCTCTGCCCCCTGCCCGCGGTCGCTCCCCTTCTTTGGGCCGCAGTCTCCTCGTCTGTAGTATGGGGATAGCAGTAGAACCCATTTCACCCAGCTACGGTAAGGATTCAGCAGTTTGATGTCCAAAATGAACCAGCGTGGTCTCTGATGCCTAATGCATGGTGACAACCACAGCTTTAATGGGAGGAGCATTCACCTGTCGGTAGTTTGGAGAGCAACACCTTTTCCTCTTGTTTTCAGGATTAAGAAGGAATGGTGGGACCAGATTCCCAACGCCGCCCACAGCCCCCTGATGGCCATTGTCATCCAGGATTCTCAGGTAGGATGCTTTGGAATGCATGTGTCAAGGAATGTGGCTCTTAACATCCGGGGTGTTGACGTCCATTGACTTTGGGGACAGCAAAGGGCCAGTCAGGAAGGTGTCAGGGCAGGCTGATGCAGCAGCTGGGTGTGGTCACTGGGAGGCCAGAGGCTTCCCTGAGCTTCCATGGCTTCTCTTTCAGCCTGGGGTGTGTTCCTCTGGCGTTGACCTCTGGATCCTTATCCCTCCCAGGGGAAGGAGGACCTGGAGTCATCATCTCTATGTCATCTCCTGGAGAGGTGCCTGGACAAGGGCAGAGGCCAGAGGGAGAGGGAGAGGGTTCTAGGCTTTCTGTGTCTTAAGACACAAGAAGCCAGCCTCCATTCTCCAGCAGGTCTCTCCTTAGAGCCAAGCTCTCTCCTAAACCAGTCACCAGTAAAGGTGTAGAGATATCTGGGCACCCGCCAGGGTCTACCCCTGAGTGAATAGGGTCAGCTTCCCCAAGGTGACAGCCATGGGGGTGGGCAGTGAGTGTGCTGAGCAGTGCCCAGGCTCTCTAGGAAGGAGCGAGGGCAACACGGGCCCTGTCTGGGAGAGGAGGTCCCGCGCCCTTGCTTCTTCAGGGACTTGTAGCAGGCCCTGGACTCCGGGAGTGCTGGCTGAATCCAGGCTCTGCCTGGACCTTCTGTGTGGTCTCGAGCCGGCTGCCTAACTTCCCTGAGCCTGCTTCCTCATGAGGGTTATGGCAGTGTTTACTGGTTAGGGCTGATTTTGGAATTAATTGAGACAAGAGGTATAAAGTGTGTGTCACAGAGTCCTGTACATACTATGTGTCGTGTATGAGGAGGGACCCCAGAATCCCAGAGTTTATGTATAAAAATTGGTGTATTTATTCCTACATGTTTAAACTTCAGTTACCTGCAAAATACTCTCCGTTTGATGCAATACACCTATCGAAGTGCTTTTCCCACTGCTCAAAACAGTTTTTGTGCTCATCAGCCTTTTAGTGCCTCTGCGGTTTTTTATTTCACCCTTCCATTGCAAAATGTTTCCCTTTGAGGTCCTTTTTCACTCTGGGAAACAACAGAAAGTTGATCAGGGCAAGATCAGGTGAATAGGGAGGGCGGGACACAGGGGTCATGCGGTTTTTGGTCAAAAACTGCTGAACATTCAGCGCAGTATTGGGCAGGTGCATTGTCATGGTAGAAGAATCAGTCACCTGTTTAGAGGGTAAAAACAACAGCCGTTTCTTGGGCTCCTGCTTCTGGAGGTGGGCAATTAGGGCTGGCTTAGCAGTGGGTGAGGAGGGGGCGGCTGGACTGAGCTGGCTGGTCCCAGCAGCCTTCCTTTGGGTTTCACCTGGCTTGTTCACAGAGGGCCTATTTCTCAAGGGTAGGAAGTAGCAAGGCCCCTGAGGCCTCATGTGTCACCGGCAAGGTGTCACTTCCCTGCTTTCTATTGGTCCCAGCAAGCCCCGCAGCCAGGTGAGGCCCACGTGGAAGGAGCCGCCAGAGAGCACGGTGGCCATTTTTGCCATTGACCACAGTCACTTTTATTATTAGGAGAATCTCATTATTTCCAAGGACACTAGGCTCAGAGAGCATAAGTGACCTGTTTGGACCTCAGACCTGTGTGGTGTCAAGATTTCTGCCCTTTCCAAGGCAAACACGTCCGTGGGACTGGGCTGGAAGGTCGCTCTGCTGTGTTTCATTGGCCATCTCTGTCTTTCAGGTGTCACTGTGGGAGAGGCGGTCCCAAGGCCAGGAACTGGCCAAGTGCCCGTATGTACCTGAACTTAACTCACAGCCTGTGTGGATTTGGAAGGTGGCAGAACTTGTGGGTGGGCCCCGCCTGGCATTTGGCGACTGCCCTATGACATTAGGCTCCAACGGGTGGCAGGGGGAGAGGTGACCGGGGGAGGTGGGCTGCTGGCTAAGCCCCCTGAGTTCCACTGGTGGGTCAGGCACATGCTGAACCCTCTTGGGAGTACCCAGCCTGGCCTGAGCAAGGCTGATACAGTTAACAATCAGGGAAGCCGTGCCTGTTGTTAAAATATTGGCCTAGTTGTATACTCGTTGGCAGACTGCCACTGCCCCGAACCCTCGAGGGTGGCATTAACACTCTGGCCTCCTGTGCTTCTCCCTTGGGGCCTCCTAGACGTGCCCACAACCCAGTAACTAAAGGATTAGAACCTGGCACTGACCCTGCTTCAGCCCTAGGACCCCACATCCGTTCTAACTGGTCATGGCTTAGGAAATGTTTTTGCTTTTAAATATCGTCATCCTCGATGAAGACTTTTCCTTATACAATAGGCTGAGTTTATATTAGGCGCCACACCATGTGCTGGGTTCCAGATGTCCCAAAGTAAGACACAGGCCCTGTCCTCAACGAGTTCCCAGTCTAACAACCAAGACAGACTGATAGATTTTTGATGAAAAAGTCAGGAGGCATGTCTGCAGTAGGTAGACATTGGTAAAGAGTGATGTCAAGCTGGGCTCTGAAGGAGGAACAGGAGTTTTTCACATGTCGATACTGAACCCTGGCCAAACTTTACTTTTGCAGACGCTGGAAGACTTGTCTTACCAAGCTTCTGCCCTGTTTGCTGGAACACGGCATGAAAAGGAACGAGGATCCCCCCAAGGCTGCCAGAAGTGGGCCTTTCCAGGGCCCGAGCAAGTCAGTATGGCACCCTGTGGAGGTCAGCAAGACAGTCCTCTGGCCAGAGATCATCAGCGTGGAGCGGTGCGTAGAGTTGTTTGAGGCCCAGGCGGAGGGTGAGCAGGAGGAAGCGGAGGAAGATGACTTCTGCCCGTGGCCTGAGAGCAGCAAGGGTGGCTTCCAGGAGGGCAGGGAGGGCATTGCGGCCCGGCTGACGGAGAGCCTGTTCCTGGACCTGCTTGGGGGTGAGGAGGGCGGCCTTGGCCAGCAGGGCTTGGGGGAGTCGTGCCTCCTTCCGCCTTCAGGAAGCACAAGTGCTCAGATGTCCCAGGCCGAGTTCCCGAATACAGGGCCCCCGGGGGAGGCTTCCCAGGGCGCAGAGCTACCTTTTGGCCAAGAGCCAGGTCCTGCAGCCAGCCCAACCCAGAGCCTGGCTAGCTTGGCTTGCACAGAGACGCCCGTCGTCATCGCAGACAACCCTGCGTACCGCAGCCTCAGCAACTCTCTGAGCCAGCCCCCAAGTCCTGGAGAGCTCGCCCCAGATCCGCAGCTGGCCGAGCGCCTGGAGGAAGTGGACCCCACGGGCCCCTGTGCCCCTGAGCCCTCAGAGCCCGAAACCTGGGAGCAGATTCTCCGCCAGAGTGTCCTTCAGCACCAAGCGGCCCCGACCTCAGCCCCCGCCAGTGGCTATCGGGAATTTGTACACGCAGTGCAGCAGGGCAGTCCCCAAGACGGCGCAGGGGCGGGCTTGGGCCCTTCTGGGGAGGCTGGGTACAAGGCGTTCTCCAGCCTACTCACCAGCAGTACTGTGTCCCCAGGGGCGTGTGGACTTGGGGCCAGCAGCGGGGAGGGGGGCTACAAGCCCTTCCAAGACCTCCTTCCTGGCTGCCCCGGGGACCCTGCCCCAGGCCCTGTCCCCCTGTTCACCTTTGGACTGGACACAGAGCCATGTCACGGCCCACAGAACTCACACTTCCTGGGCGGCTCCCCAGAGCTCCTGGGTCTGGAGCCAGGGGGAGAGGGAGAGGGCAGGCAGAAGCCCCCGCTCTCCCCTCAGCAGGCCACAGACCCCCCCAGTGACGACCTGGGCAGCGGCATTGTCTACTCAGCCCTCACCTGCCACCTGTGTGGCCACCTGAAACAGTGTCACGGCCAGGAGGAGAGTGGCCAGGCCCACGTTGTGGCTGGCCCCTGCTGTGGCTGCTGCTGTGGAGACAGGCCCTCGCCCCTCATGACCCCCCTGAGCACCCCGGACCCCTCTCTAGGTGGGATTCCACTGGAGGCCAGCCTCTGTCCAGCCTCCCTGGCACCCTTGGGCATCTCAGAGGAGGGTAAGTCCTCACCGCCCTTCCAGCCTGCCCCTGGCAATGCTCAGAGCTCCAGCCAGACCTCCAAAATGATGAGCCCTGTCTCCTTGGGGCTGGCATGCACAAGGGCCTCCTAGGTGTGTGCTGTTTCGTGGCTAAGGTCGCCAGGCGAGGCCCAGGGCTTATCCACACCTGGGAGGTCCTTCCTCTTGGAAGGCAACCAGGCTGGCAGATTTCCAAAAGACTCAAAGGACTGTGGTCTGAGGGTGTGACAATGGCCTCACATGGGGCTGCAAAGAATGGACCCCTCCCCAACATCGGCCTGGGTTTGCCACCTCCCACGGGAGTAGAGCACTGGGCAGTGTGCCCATGGCAGGCCCCTGCAGGGATCGCGAGGCTTGAGCTGGAGTTGCTGGTACTCTACTCGCAGCTGCCACAGCAGACTGCCCCTGGCCAAGGCGTGTGTTGTGCTCCAAATCATCGCCGCTCACGCCTCTCACCAGCCTCCGTCTCACTGAACTCAAATACAGAGCCTGGAAGCTGGCAAAGCCATCGTGGGAATGATGGGGGCGGCCTTGGCCTCCGATGGGAAATTGAAGTTCTGGGAGAGTGGCCGTCGCCCATGTGCCTGTTCTTTCAGTCGAGCTCCCTTGCATCCGGCCTGTCCAGGGGTCCTTGGTGACATGGGAGCCACCGAGAAGGATGTGGAAAACCACAAGGACCAAAGCCAGGCGCCCACACATGGCTGCACGGCTGGGGGCTCCTGCCATGCATGGGATTCCCAGAATAAACAAGCCCAGCTACCCCAAGGCCTGCGTCCACGAACACCATTGCTGGCAGCCACAGAGAAAATGTCCGGGGAGGGTTCGCGTCCTGTTGACCCAGCCTGGGCTGGGCAATCCAGACAGCAGACACGAGGCATCTGTGACCTGCACGTTGGCCCAGACCGCTTGGGTTGAGTCAGTACTTGTTTGTGTGTGTGTCTTGAAGATGGTTTTATCGCCTGTTATCTGTGTTTGCTGAGGAGGGTGGAACTTTGTATAAATAAAGGTTCTTTATCTCTCTTTTTTGCTTATTAACCAAACATACTGCCTGGCACTGCTGCGAATGCTTTGTCTCTGTTAAGTTACTGAATCCTCCCATCTTGGGGAACAAGGGGGTAAGTAACTGGCTGTCTCTAGAGGTTTGCGTTCCCAACACAAGGATTCAAGTACTGTCAGTTGACTTCGGAGGGGACCCCCAGGACACCCTGCTAGGGGAGTGGGGACACAAGTCAGGGAAGGGCATGAAGCAACCAAGTGTGTGTCCCAGATAACCAGCGTGGGCAACTGACAAGGATCTGCAGGGAATTCCTGCAGAGGGGAGGGAGCTGGGGTATTTGTCCACCAGCGCCCTCTGTCATTGACTGAGGGCTGCTTCAAGAAGCGTTCATTCCCAGCACTTCCAGCTGCTGCAGGAATATCGTCCTTGGACTAGAGCTGGAAATGTTGGAGAGATTTTGGCACATGAAGGAGCTGTGGACAGGTCTCCACAGCAACTGCTGCATTTTCCCCAGGGACACACAGCTGATGAGTGGCAGGCCCAAACCTGAATCCAGATGGCATCCCCATTGCCCAGGCTCTCTCTAGGTGACTGGTTGCTCGACGTCCCAGGCAGACGGTTACGGACTGGGCCTCAGACAGGCAGGCAGGGGCCTGACACTCCTGTGTCTGTGACCATTCTGAATAGCTGCCTTGGCTTCCACACTTGAGAGGATGGGTGGTTTTAAGTCCTTTCCTGCTCTGGGATTCTACATGATGCATTGGAAAGGACGGGGTGCTCACGGCCTCACGTGCAGCCGGATGCTTGTTCGTGCTGAGCACACGTCTATGCCTGTAGATGCACAAGGTGCATGGTTTACAGATGGAGAAACAGCTCTAGAAAGGAAGAGGGATTTGCCTGAGGTCACACAGTGACGGGCAGAGCCTGAACTAGCCCTCTGGACTTTTGGCCTCTAAGAGATCTTTATAACAAAATATTATAATTTAAAATAAAAATACATATTGATTTAGGACAGGCCATATGCTAAGTGCTATCCAGTGCTATTTACATCTAACAGCTCTAAAAGGCAGGCTTAATTATCATCCCAATTTTACAGATGAGAGAAGCCCAGAGGTTGAGGATTAGTTTACAGTCACACAGCAAGGAAATCCTGGAGCCAGAATTTGAACCCTGGTCTGATTGGAGAGCTCCTGGTCACCACGATGTGCCATCTCATGTTGTCCTGGGATTTACTCAGATGTCATCTGTCATCCACTTTGCTGAGGATTATTTCAGAAACACCAAATTCAAGCAGCAAACAAAATGTGTGTGTGAGTAGTGGAGACGCAGTCTGACTGGAAGCCCAACACAGAGTGGAGCCCAGACTCACTATTGTGTCTCCCAGATCACAGGAGATAAAAAAGCCAAGATGTCAGTCTTAGTCACATTACTGAATTGGCTGGGCTCTGGGAACTGGCATGGAGTGCCAGACAGAGACACTCCCACCTCCTTCCCGGACTCAGTCCCGCCCTCCCAGGTTCAGGGAAGCTGGTGAAAGACCTGCCACTCTTCCGGCTTCCCGCCTTACTACAGGGAAGGAGGAAGTGGAGAGGCCACACAGCTCACCAGTACTTACTGAGCACCTGCTCTGGATCACGCAGGCTGGTTGCCAGATGCTGAGTGCTGAGGATACACCTGTGATGAGACAAGGAAGGTCCCTTCCCTCCTCTCAGTGGGGGAGACAGGCATTAAACAGAAGGGAAAAGCTGCAAACGCTGGAGGATGGTGTGAAGAAAGCAATTAGGGATCTGAGACAGGGGAACCCGCGGTGCTCAGGCAGGTCTTTGAGGGAGTGACATTGGAGTGGAGCCCTCAATGACCATCAGGAGGCAGGCTGAAGTGGGGAAGAACATTCCGGGCAGGAGGTAGAGCAAGTGCAAAGGCCCTGAGCAAGTGCAAAGGCCCTGCTCTCAGTGCAGAAAGATCAGCTATGGCAAAACGAGCCTGGGACTGTGGTGATGCCACAGCCTAACCGGGTCTCCATGCCTGCCACTCAGAAAAGAGCCAATGCACTGAATCAGCAGTGTCGCAGTAGAGAAAGGAGCTTAATAATCGCAAGGCACACGCCCAAGGATGAATTCAGAGACTAGTGCACGAGAGGCCAAGGGTCAGATTTTAAGAAAACAAATTTGTCATGGAATTGCAAGGAGGGCCCTGGCAGCCAGCGATTTCCTGGTGAGAAGGACAGGAGATCATTTTCAAATCCGCTTCCCTGATTTTACATTTTAGGCTAGAGTTTTTTAAGGAATTATTTGACAGGCAGGAGGCAACAGAACGGATGCTGACGAGGGGTTAGTGAGGAAGCCATGGGAGGGCTGAAACTGTCTTTGTGGGTGCAGAGCCGGTTTCTGGGTTGGGGTGGGGGAGACTCGCGGGACCACTTGGGTCAGCTCCTTGGTGGGGTCTGTTGGGCCAGTGCAAGGTCTGAAAAATATCTCAAAAACCAGTTACAAATTTTGTGAACAGCGGCTGTTCAGAGACCTCTGGAAGGTAGGTGGAAGGACGAGCGACGCAGCTCTTGACCCTTGACCTTCCGCTGATCAGACTTCCGGGTGGCACCCAGGGGGTCTGCGTGACCCAAGGGATCCTTGTTCTTCGAGAGAAAATAAGCTCATTAACCCGCTGGGCAGCTCCCTCCCCTCCGGGTCAGGACATGACAGATTTCAGGCCCCTATTACGAGTCTAACTTTGTGGTCTTTTATTAACTTTACAAAGGTGTTTCCACAGTGGTGGTTTTGGTGGGAGGGTAAGGTAGGGGCATGACGGAGGCCAGAATTTGTATTTTGGCGTTTGGTTCCCTTTAGCCCCACCCGCCGAGAAACCTGGTCCAATAGAAACCAGTCTTGTGTCAACCTTCCCCCAATCACAAACCGTGATCATCAGCAGCCAATGAGAGGAAGGACAGCCACCGGAAGCGTTTTCCCACGGGATTCCCTCCCACTTTGCAGAAGTGCAAGACTAAAGTTCCGCCTGTTTACCGAGATGGGGGTGGGGGGAT